CTATCTTCTTGAACTCGGGGGAAAGCCTGCAGTCTCACTCTGCTAATAACTAATACGAAATACTCCTTATTAACGACTTACATCCCTGGAGCTCAGAACACCTTACCGAGGAAGTCCCATTGTTATCTCCCTCTTACAGACAGGGAACCTGAGGCACAGGTAGCGTGAACAGCCTCAAGTTACCCACTAGGCCAGTGGTAGAGCTGCAAACCCAAGGGGCCGATCCTCAGCCAATATAAATTATCGTGCACCGGCTAAGCCATGCTGACAGACCCCCTGAGCCCTACGCCAATGCCTTGCTCACCAGGCTGGAGCACCTCTATGTCCCCCCAGTTTACATCTATGTGACTCCCCTGATTTTAATGGCACGACTCCAGAGACCGGTCCCTATGGGAGTAGAAAGCAGAGTTACACTGCGTGCAATCTCTGAAACAGAGCCAAGTCTGCCTTTTCCTCAGCCAACAGCCCCAGGGGAAGACGTGGTGGAAACAAGAGCTATTGGGGAGGGCTGCGTGTTGCATAGCACCACCTGGCCCTTGTGCTGGAGCATTGCAGAGGAGGGAAAATAGTACCAAGCCCTGCAAACAAAGCTCTTGGAGTGCCTCTGTTGCAGGCAGCAGCTGCTGCTGCCGCCACGTGTTTGAACATAGAGACAGTACAAAAAAAAATAATGTTGAGTTGTGAGCAGTGTCTGATACATGTCTGAGTATTTAGGCTTTGTTAATGCTTTTCTTGATTAAGTATTATAAGGTGCTCAGACATGCCAGAGAGTCAATTAGGGTGTAAGCGTTCCTGGATAGAGAGGCACATGGACAGATAGGGATGCTCTTCCTGCCCTATTCCTCCTTTCCTCAACACTTGAAACGGGGATGGTCCTCATTTTAAAGTGACAGTCAAAGTTGAGATGATGAGAGGAGCTCTGAAAAGCACCCAACAGGCTCAGCTCAGGTAGCTGCAACCCACATTTCGCACACAGATCACCTCCTTGTGCTTGCTCTTGCTAGAAAAGAGCCGAGGGCCTGTTAGAGCCAGTTCTCCAGCCCCAACCCATTAAAATGAAGAGGGAGATGAGGTTGACGTTACCTTGAGTGGCAGGAGCTTGGCTTGGACGTCTCCTTGGCAGCATCTGGATAAGACTTATCACATGGGGGGTGTCACGCCTTGGGGAGTCAGCAGGCAACAGGTTTGGTCCAAACAGAGCTCTCTCTACATGGAATACAAACCAGTGCATGCTTAGGGCCATGGCACACTGTTACACTGCTAGGCAGGCAGAGTGTGCACGAGGCGCTGGTGCACCATCAGTGTGGCTGCACCCACAGAGTACACCTACGCTGCAGACACACGTCCTGTACACACTGCAGCACCCAGAACAATACTGTACCGTCAAAAACTTTTAGGTCCACTTTGAGGGTCCATGTACTGGCTCTGTTGTTTATCTTTCCAATCCCACACACGTACAGCCCAGCATCCAGCTCCTCCAGGCTCCTCATTTCTATTTGAAACATCCCTTTCTTGGGCAAGTTTGTGAGGGATACTCGGTCTTTGTATCTGTCATGGGTGAACGGTGAAGTGGAGATGATGGTGATACAATCCCCTTCATTGCTCTGTTTGCACCAGTATTTTCTCATGTCCTGGTCTTTCGTGGGACACTGTATAGTGACAGAGCGTCCATGCCAGCCGATCACAGTACTGAGTCTGAATGCACTTGAAACTGAGGGCACAGAGTTAGGGAGTCACGGGACTTGATTTTCATTGACACTAAAGCAGAGCATTGCATAGGACTGTGTTTTTTATCTCTGTTCCCAGCCAGCGCTGCAGAAACCCATCCCGCCCCCGGCCTTTCTCCCACTCAGTTCCACCCATGACAAAATCCATTTCTCCCATGCACATTGGCAGGTCTCAGCTGTATCCCATTCTTGTGGTAGTGCTCTATACTTCAGGTGTGTCCTTGCTAGGAAACCTGCCGTGCTCTTAGCATGTGCTAGCTAACAGGAGATAACTGAAATAAGGGGAAAAACAATGATTTGGACATCTACAGATGTGTAAATTGGATTGTACCTGTAACGTAGGTTATGTTAAAAGGGGTTATGTCACTAATGTAAAGGAAAATCAGCCCCAAGCACGTTCTTAAAGGAAATGACTGTCTCAACCTGAGTTTCAACACGGCGTTTTGAAAATGGGGAGTTTCATCAGTACCTATTGCCCTAGGAGTGTGATCCCACGGGAAGTCAGCACTTCCAAGTCACTAAGGTGCTTTTGAAATTCTCACCCAATATTTCTAAAAGCAGGGATTCCCTGCAAGCCTGTTACGATCCTAATTACTGAAGAAGTGAGATTCAAAAAACCAGGAGCAGGATATTTTCATCACTGAGAAAATATGGAGAGCCGACAGAAACACAGAGTTCGCCTGCCCAACATCGTATGTCCTCAAATGAGTTGGTTCCTGTCTCTTCCACCCCATGTGTCTCCAAAGTAAGTCAGAGAGATGCAGTTAGCTGTGTTCATCTGAAGCAGATGGCAAGGTAGAGGTGCACGTTACCGACTAACTGAATCAGAGACCTGCTTGTCCTTTCATAACATCTGATGAAAGACGCTTCATGCATCTTGGATTCAGTTTGTTGAAAAGGTGCACCTTTATTTTGCTTTTTGATTGAAGTATTGCAGGTCATGGGGAGCACTTGTTTGAACTCTCCTTGCATGTAAACATGAAGGTTCTCACATCTGGACTTCACTTCTCTGCTAAGGAGACACATCCCAAGCCTGTCCCTAAGGAGACACGTCTCTTTAGGACATAATATAGTGCCTTTCTCCCACATCACAGTTTACAAAAAAACCAACAAAACTTCTGTGATAAATATTGCTAAAAAGAAATCATTCTTCATTCTTAAAAATGCAAAGGTTTCAAGCTATTCACTTTTCTGGGAAACCTGCAGAAATATTACCATCAGACAAACCTGACATTGCAGACTTACTCGGCTATCTGTGCCTTTTCTCCCAGAAAGGCACAGGGTAAAAAAATTCACAAGAGAAAGTCTTGGAGGGAGAAGGAAATCCCCTTTTTGATTTACGCTGCAAGAAAACAGGCCCACTTGGTTGTTTAGCTCTAGACGCCTTCCACGTAAAAGCAAAAATGAAAAGCAATAGCTGTGTTCCCTTTGATTAGATCCCTTTTAAATCCTGAATATGCTTTTTAATCAATGCCGCTCTTACCTTGCACCAAGAAAAAGAATACACTGATGAAGTCCATTCTCTCTCTTTGTGAAATGAGAGCCCCAGGAAGTGAAGTACAGTGAAAGCAGAGCACACACAGCGATACCGTCTCGGTTCCTTGTGCTGTGTGTTTCCGGAAACAGAAAGAAATAGATCAAAAAAGAAGGAGTTGGGGTATGGTTCTGTATCAACCCCTTCCTCTCCATACGAGCAATATGCAAACCACAAAGGAAGTCTTATAGTAAGGTTCAAAATAGATTATGCTCAGCCAAATTCATCCTAGGTGTAACCCTCTTGTGAGGCTGCGCTCAGGATGAATTATGTATTTCCTTAGAATTTCGTCTTCCACAGCCCCCGCGCCAGCCAGATGTGTGGGTGTTTTCGAGATACCCCTAAAAACACAAGAGGTACAAAGTAATGGAGGAGTTCGGCACTTGCTCCATCGAGCTAGTCCTGCCGCATCACAACTCCCATGACGGATGTGGCCGAGTTTGCCGTGATCCAGGGGACCAAGATAATGTAGCTTCTGTTCAGACTTGAATTTGGATTGATCTTGGATGTTGCGTAAGGGAAACGGTGGAGTAGGGTGCCCCAGAGAAAAGCCATTGGGAAAAATATTGGGGGAAGCTGGGGTGGGGAGCACAGAAGAGAAAAGGGAAAGGGACTAGATTAAGAGGACAGCAGCCCCTTCATGCCTGGTCCTCAGGCCCGAGGGCTTATTTTCAGAAGGCACCTCACGCTCTTGCTGCCCTTACTGGGGCTCCTCCATGGTTACAAGACCCAAGGACTGTCAGCTTAGTACCACCTGGAGATGAATTGCCTCCTTATTGCAAAGAAGGGCAACGTTATCTATCTCCACCCAACGTTTTCACCGAAGGAGTGAGCAGGGCAGTCCACATGGGGCCTGCGGTGGGCATGGCCCAGTGTGTATTTATGTTGATTGTAGAGGGCGTGAGAAACCAGTCATTGTTACTTAAAATAAAAACAAACCAAGAAACCCCCAACCTATTTTTGCTCACGCTGTGCAGTACAGTCACAAACACAGCCCTCGTGCACTGGAGCAGGTGCTCTGAGGCTGGGCTGCCTCCTTCCCTCACTTCGGTATTACTGTCGACATCGTCCCATCCCCTGAGCCGAGCAGCCGTGCAACCCCCTGTTATCTGATGGCAAACCACAATGCTCAAGTGCACAGCAGGCAAGGTCCGGAAGTAACAGTGAACCGTACAGGCCTTGAGATGGAGCCTCGAGGCGCTGAGAGCCTGACTGAATATTTTCATTTAATCCTACGAGCTGAGTTTCCTCCCGCTGACACCAGGTTCATGCCTGCGTGAGTCCGTTGCCATTAGGGCAGTAACACCTCCTTGTTTCCATCTCTGTTCCTGATGGGGAAATGAACCCCTGCAGGCCTAGGACGAGGAGGTTTTGGGAGGGCTTTTGATTGCTTACAGATCAGGCCTCTGAGTAGGAGTCATGCCACTTGAGAGTGGTAGAGAAGCAGGGCTGGAAGGGACCTCCAGAGGTCATCTAGTCCAACCCCTGGCCTGAAGCAGGATCATCCCTATCAAACCATCCCATATAACCAGAGTCAAAACTCGACATAAGACTACCGTCAACCCTGACACGGCATCGCCCTAACCTGCCACAGGTAAACCAGGGGAACCACAGCAGTCCGCGTCCTGCTTCTGTAAAACTTCTCCCTTCGCTCTCAGTGCCACGGCTTCTTCTCCGCTAATACAGCCCCCTCTCCATTGCACTTACCCCGTGTAATATCAGAGCTGGAACAGAATAAGTGATCTGCTAGAAGCCAATCAGTCTTTATTGGTTGAGAATACAAAAATTTCAGGCTACTTGTCCGGCATATAGTCAGTGCCCTATTGATTAGAAAAGCTCACAGGAATCAAAGGAGTGTCACATTGATCTAAAATATTTCCAGGTTGGTATAAGATCAGATGAAATCCTTAAGTACATTTTCAGCCCTTTGCCATCGCAGTGACCTGGTAAACTTGGAAAGACCTATATTTGGACTATCAAAAATCAAAGATATTTTTATTTCATTAAGTTGCTAAACACCAAGGCCCTTTACCCTTAAAAACAAAAAAACAAAAAAACCAGCAGCATTTTGAGAGTTCATCTCCCCCAAACCAACCCAGTTTTGAACCAAAACATCCCCATTAAATCATCTCTCAATGCTGGAGTAAGACATTCTTGCAGTACTAAGTGATCAAAATGCATTGACATGTTTGTCACAGTAATAAATGGCGTGGCTAGCTGATCTGGTGCTAAGTGATTATGCAGATAGTGTTGTCTTCAATCATAAGGACTTCCTGCTTGTATCTTCTTCAGAAACAGTTACACCAGGTCACCTTAGGCGTTCAGTTGCTAAGTATTACTGTTGTCAGCAGTATGTTCCTGAGCAATGCTTTTTGTCTGAAGTAGGAACGTGCTGTAGGCAACATCAGCCTCCTCCTTAGATCCCTAAGTGAAAGAACAGGAATCGCGTGACTATTGGCAGGGACTCAAACACAGCGATTTAGAGCTTTCCACAAAAACCAGCATAGGTAGGGAGCTGTAGACGGCAATCAGATGTAGCAGACGTATGAAGATGGAGAGAATCCCTTGGTCACACTGTCGTCCACTAAAGAGGTTCAGAAACTTTGGGGAAGTATCTAGACTTTTGGAAACTTACAGTTCTTTGAAACACCCTTGTCCCTGCCAGCCTGCTTTATGGGTATTACCAGTGGCATTAGATTTGCCCGTTTTATAGCAAAGGCCACAAACTCCTGGATTTTCCACACCATTGTAATAAACACTTTGCCTTCTTGTACTAACTTTCATTTAAGCATAGCAGAAAAAATGTACAAGCATAGTTAATGAACAGAGGATGGAAAGGCATGCTCTGTGAGAACGGTGGAATTTCTTCCCTATCCTAGCTTCTCTGGGGGACCAAAATCTTCTAGGGAGGATGAAGAAGCATCTTTATTTGATAAAGGTTGGGAAAGGAGTTTTTAGGAGGGAACAGAGGTTTGTCTACTGTTTGTTTAACTGTTGCTCTCCTGGCACCATGGATTGTTAGGCTGCTTAAAGTTTTATGTTATGGGCCTTCTTAACAGCAGCTCAAATCTGGAAGCATAATAATACACAACTGTGCCCCAAAATGCTACAGATAGCATCATCTCCTTTTACAGGTGGCAAAGTCGTAGCAAGGGGAAGTGACTTGCTGGGGAACACACACAGAGTTAATGGTAAACTTTGCAATATATGAGGCAGGAGCATTGACTTCTAGTCCCCACTATCTGAGCCCAGCTTCAGTAAACTATTTGATTTAAAAGGAAGGAAGCTGCTTTGCATTTGAGTCTCTTTAGTGAGATTCAAGCTTTGAGAACAATAACATTCTGCTCCCGCTTCGGAGCTGAACTGCGATCACACATCAAAGCAAACTGGCTGCTGTTTTGTTCCTTGCCACAATGCAGGTGCTACGCAAGGCTCAATCTCCTGTGCAAAAGCTGAGTGTGCCACAGCTGAGATGCATAATAGGGTGGTCACTGAGAAGGCAGAGCCCATAAATAGGGTGCACTGGGGGTTATGGAAGCTTTTGCTACTGAAGGAAAGACTGGGGTTGTGCTAGCCTGGGAGGTATAGGACTCTATTCTAGGCTTACTTACCCTTTTTGCCTTCTTTGGCTCCTCTACCTCTTCAGTGCCAGCAGTAGTTATGAACTCTGAAAGAAGAGGCGGCATTAGGGTGCTGGGCAGGAAAGAATATAGCTTGGGTCATGACACACTCACTCATTAGCTCCTATATGCTGCACTGCTACTGAGGTGCAGGGCACGTGCTCTTCTGTTTGTCAGCTTCCAGAATTCAAATAGCACCACATAGGAGTGGCTCCAGCGTGAGAAGAGCCATAACCGCTCTATCACCCTTCCCCTGACAAAATAAGAGCTGCACCGTGTTGGCATTACGTACATTCTTTCTTGCTGGAACCAGGGCAGCTGCCTGATTGCTAGGATAGAAGTCCTTCTCATTTCTTTAGCAGGCTTTAATTTTCTCTTTATGAAGATCATAATTGCTAGTGACTCTATTGCTCTCACCTGCAATTGGTTAAATGCTGAAAGTCTCTGCTTATCGTTCAGCCAATGGTAAATTCAACCAAATATTAGGGCTTTGCTATCACAGATTTGGAGACTGAAGGTCCTGGCTGTAGCTGTTTGTGTTTCTGCACTGTAAGCACTTGTAGGCAGAACCTCTCCATGAGCAACACCTTGAACCTGCTACAGCTTATTCAGTTCACATTTGCTGCAGTGCACAAATTAGAAGAGTATTTTTTTTTGTTTGTGCCCCAGCAAGGGAGAAGAGGCCCCTGGGCATCCTTTGCAGAAAGCTGTGAGCCTAGTTTTGCCCTTTCTGCTGCTTATCACACCAGCCCAGAGCTAGGCTACCTCAGCTGATTGCCTGAATGTAGGTTGGATCAAATGCCAAATTTGATAGCCTTCCTCTGTAAGGCGTTCTGAGATCCAAGGATGTAAGTTGTTAATGGTCGTTTAGTTCAAGTTTCAATATAAAGAGAACATGTGCGATGATAAGCAGGACTGGGGCAGTCTGGCAACTGGAGAGTCAGACCATTGTAAGGTCTTTTCTATGCCCAACAGCCTCAGTACAGAATCCCCTATACATGCAATATCTCTAAGACTAGTTTCTATATCTCTAGACACATCACGGGTAACAGTTTTAATCAGCAACTTACCATCCATTCCCCCAATCTGGGTCTCCTGAGTCTCTCTCATACATGCGTTATCATTTGCTCCATGCTCTTTGGCATTCTCAAACTCTGACATACTGATGTTAGTCCTGTAGCTTCCAACTGATACCAGGTCTGTTAAGAGAGGAGGGGACAGCATATTATTGAATGGGATGAGCTTTTCTGTTTTATAATTCCACTTGTAACCATATCCAACCCCTGGCTTTATTAAAGCACCCTGCAAAAACTCAAGTGTTCACTGTTTCAAGCCCTGAGATGTTTATCTGAGCCACTTGGGACTTACCTTAAGGCTGAAGATAGGGTCAGTTAGTTATGTCAAGTGCTCTGTGATGCAGTCCTGTTGTTTAGGCCTGTCCTGACTCTTTTATGCTTTGCCAGCAGTGCTTTCCATGGAGTTCATGCTAGCTCTGACCCCCAGGGTTCAAACCCTCTGGTGGGGCAGTGTGATAGGAGCCACTGTGGTCAGTGGAGGTGCTGTATGTGTCATCTGCCCCTAAATGTCCATCTTTCCCTTACCTGAAAGATTATTAGAGGGTGTAGGACTTACCTGATCTGTTCAGGGTCCTATATCTAAACACAGCAAAAGCCAAAGCCAGGATCAGGAGCAGACCACCAATAACAGCCAGAACTGGGACAAGCACTTGACTTTGTCCAGAGCTAGAAAGGGAGGAACTGAGCATTAGTTACTCACAAAAGAGCACTTAATAGTGGAAAGAAATCACTCCTAGAACTGCTGCATTCAAAATCAAGAGGGATCATTGCTTTCACACCACTCTCAAGACTCCAGAGTGCTTCAGAAACCATTAGCAGAACATCTCAGCAGCCGTGTGAAGCAAGTTTATCCTTGTTTTGCAAGTAGAGCACTGAGGCATGGAGAGGTAAACCCCCTTGCTTCAAAATGGATGGGAATGAATATAGTAGCCAAGACAAGAACTTTGGTTCCATGGTTTCTGGCCTGCTCTTCTAACTTCAAGAACACCTGTGTCCCATATTTCACATAAAGCCTTGGGACAGTCAGTATATGGCAAGTGGCATCTTAAGAAACAATAGGTACAAGTTTAAAAGCAAAAATTGGAGCTGAGAGCATTCAGGATTTGGCTGTTTATCGCAACCTTGTAAAAATGACCCAAAGTTATTTTATGGGCAAAATCTCCCTGGAAGACATGACACAGTTGTCCAGCACTTTGCCACTGCCTGGCATTGAACACTCAATGCCTAGAACAAGTTTCAAAATCGAATACAGAGTTGGGGAAGTCTTACTTTTATCCAAACTACTTGCCCTTCCCTAATATTCTTGAGGGAAACATAAGCCTAAATATTGATGTAAGTGGAGGGGGAAATAAAGACTACACTAACTTTAATGAGCAATACTGGAGCCAAGCATAAGAATGAAGAATAATAAGCAGAAGAAGGAAGAACGAATAATTTTGAAAATGCAGAGGTGATAATGTGCTATTATCCCTAGATCAGTTGACCAGATAGGTGTTGTAGACAGTGTTATTTTAATAAAAATATAGCCTCTTAATGTCCTGTACTGCATTTCTAACCATTTACTGTCAAAATTTTGAATGCTTATTAAAGTTTCTAGAGTATGATTTCACATATTCTTGTATTTATTACAAAAAATTAGTGCTACTCCTATTTCTCATCATATATGGTTGACAGAGATCACTGGGGCAGTGACTCTCCCAATAATGAGTAATCAATCACCTATTTATAAAGCTTCCTTAAATAAAGCAGTGGGTTTCTATGAACCTAGCCAATTGGAACTGGATTTGTCAGGTGACTTTGGTTAACATGCAACAGGTAGATCACATAATACTGGAGAATAGAATTCGGCCTAGCACCCTTAAGGTCCTTTGACCCCCTGTGACACATGCCTTTAATAAACAGAACAGACTTTGAGAGACTCACCTTTTTTCAGAGTCTACTTGTACTGCTCTGTCTTCAGGAACAACACGTTCAAGAGTAGCACGATTTCCAGTGTCTTCACGGAGATTAGTATTGTCTATCGGTCCTTCGTCTGCAGTTTTAGGGATTGCTAGGTGGATATGAGATATTCACATTGAGTATCAGAGTGCGGGGGGGAGAGACCCAATAGACGGTCAGCATTTTTATGCATAAGTAATAGGTGACTTCATCAAAGTCTGATTTCTCAGAATGTCCTCATTGATATTTAGTACGGCTTTGACTTGTTTAGGACTTTAAAAAATGGCACTTAAATGAAACTTTTACCCAATGGCCACATGTGATAATCTTGGCACTCTTCCTAAAGACAACTATAAATATATTCTTTCCAAGTTCCATTTACTCTTTGCGCTTCATTAGGTGAGGACAGTGAAGCCAAACCGTCCCTTTTACTTCTAGATCGTTTCGTTTCCTAGTGTTGTACATTAAAACATGAACATCAGGTTTGGGTTTTTTGCAATTTTCCTGCATATTCCCAACACCCCCTCCAAAAGAACAAGACCTTTCCTTTTAAATGTGCTCAGAGTTGCAAAAATAGTCCTTCATCTGTAAAACAGGGATAGCAACCAGCCTTTCTTTCTCTCTTTGTTTTCTAATCTGTTCAGATTAATAGCTTTAGGAGTGTCGCTTACTATGAGCATGTACAACAGCCCCTAACACACTGGGCCTCTGACCACGAATATGCCTTTTAAATGTTCTTGTAAAACACATATAAATAGCAGCAGCATCAGTGGCAATTCTTATTAAAAGAGGACTAAAATGTGGAAGGGGTGTAAAAGTATAATCTGGAAGTGGAGGAGGCCCAGGACCCACTGATAAATTGTAGGACTATAGCAAGGTCTGAGCAGCTGGGTAAACGGGCTTGTTCGTTCAACATGGAAGAGTTTATGCTCCGAAATGGCGTAGCCTAGAGTTTGCAATTACTCTTTCTCGAGGGAAAGGCACCGTTATTGGTGAGCATTTGTAGCTGCACAGAAATTCTCGCCTGTTTTTTTTGTTGTGAAATCTGTAGTAGAGCTCACCTCCTTGTACTTTCACGTTCACTGCCAGCGTTTCCCCATAGCGACCATTGCGGCTCACTCCACACCAATACCACCCCTGGTCTGTCTGTGCCACGTGGTCAAATTTGAGGGAAAAGGTTCTGTTGTCCTGGTTGCAGTCAACAGCAAGGCCGGTTTGGTTTTGCTCATATGAGATGAGAGGCTGGCAGCCAGTATTATTCCACTTGCACCAAAATTTCTGAAAGGAATAGTATTTGCACGGATAAGAGCAACTTAGAGTGAGGGGTGCACCAATCACTGCAATGACTTCCTTCTCTCCCGTTAACCCAGGCGACCCTGTTGGAGAGAAAACACAAATGAGGCTGTTAATGACTCGCACAATTGAAACCTGGTACCAACAAAGCATGAATAAGCCTGAATAACCATCTGAAGAATATGCTCATGAGAGGAAACACTTTACTTTGCTCTCATAACATTAAAGATCATGTATAGACACTCTTATGGCCTTGCTGAGTTTTTATAAGACACAAAAGAGATTTCTGTTAGGAAAACTTGAAAACTGCTGAAAACTTTGGTAGAAAAATAGTGAGAACTTTTGAGGTGGGTGGGAAAATGTTTCAAACATTTTCAAAAGCTTCGGTTGAAAAATCATAACAACCCCCCACTCAAACTTATACCTTTTTAAACGTTAAAGCATCGCCCATTCAACTTAAGAAGCTACGAATGAGAAACGAGGTCTCTCCTCAAAAAAAGATACAGCTCTGCTCTTTGCTCTGGGATTAAGAATGGATGAAATGCCTTGTATGCCTTTTGCTGGCAGAGAGAGGAATCACTAACACCCATTCTCGTACCATTTACAATCTTCAGCTCCTTGGAAGCTTTCCTTTCCTTGTCTCCAGCTGTCATACACCAGTAATACGCTGCATCGCTGTCTTTCAAGTCATTCATTATTATGGTAAATGTTCCATTTTTCGTATCATCGTACATGGCTATCAGTCCTTCGTATGCTTCTGTGACAAACCCATCACTCGTTATTATGTCAGTGCATCCCTGTTTCCTCCATCTGCACCAGTACTTGACTGTGTACGTCCCTCGTGGATCATAGTGGCATTCAACAGCTACAGAACCACCTCTGACTCCTTTTACTACATGTGGCCCCTGGGGAACAGGTGTTCCTGGAGGAACAAAGTGCAACGCATGCAGTTAGTCACCCTGAGATGATATCCATGTGGTGTGGGCTTGGCCGTGTTAAAACAAGGACACCAGCTATACTGGCTTTCTCATTGCTTAATTTTTAACATGTCTGATGGATGAGAAGTATGGTGACTGCACTTGAAAGCCAAGTGCATAATACAAGATCAAGAGCACCCTCTCAAAATTTCAGGGTATCTGTACACAGCAAAGCAAATGGTAACAGCTACATGAGTGGCAGCAGTCGGGCAAAGAAATACCCTTTGGCTTGTCGGCTCTGGCATCTGCTCTTTGCGCTTGTCCTTTGGAAGCTGGTCCTGAATGAAGGACTGAGGCAAACTTGCAATGGGCAGATCACCTCCACGCAGTAGTGTCATAAAGGGAGCAGCGGAAACTCCTAATAGGAGACATTTGAAACCAGACTGGACAAAGGGAGTGAGCTTAGGATTGTGAAGGGAATATGTGGCATCAAATGAGTCGTCTCTAAAGTCCTTACACAGTATTTCTAAGGACTGCTTAGGGACGTGGCATATTTACTTGGTCCAAAAATGTATTTTGTTCCCACCCCTCCACTTCCCTGTGACAAATCAGTATCGAAAATAAGCAATAAAATGGTTCCAGCAGGGATTTGCTCCTTGCTATGTGAATGCCTGAGTAAAATAGCAAATGGATGAACAGCACTTAATTTTTTGTCTGTAAAGTTAACAGTCGTGAATGAGTTTTTAAAGAGGAGGAATGGGTGAAAGGACTGGGATTGTTTAGTGTGGAGAAGAGAAGACCTCAGGGTGGTTAAAAGTAGAAGATTTGTGATTGATAGACTGTTCTCTGTGGCTGCAGGAAACAGGACAAGGGGTGATGGAAATTGCAGCAAGGGAAATTTAGGTTGGATGCTAGGAGAAACTTTCTCACTATAAGGGTGGTCAAGTATTGAAGCAAGCAACTCAGAGAGGCTGAGGGATCTCTGTTTGGAAGTGTGTAAGAGCAGGTTCCACCAGCACTTGTATAAAGCAGTTTAAATGGGAATGACGCTGCCCTGAGGAGGGAGTTGGACCAGATGACCTCGTGCAGTCCCTGCCAGCCCAAACACGAAGGAAAACAGAATATGAGACTGTTGGGAGTGGTTGAAATAATACACAGACCCTCTTCAACACTTACCTACATAGACATGTAAATCCAGTTCCTGGGCTTTTCCCCCGTAGTTCCCAACACCGCACAAATAGATCCCTGAATCTTCTGGCTTCAGGTAGCCTATAATGATGCGGAATGACCCTGGAGTTTGCTGATTGGTCAGCAACGCTCTCCCTTTGTAGGGCTCACCGATAACTCCATACGTGTCGATCACAGGGGAGCAGCCCGTTTTCCCCATCTTGCACAAGTATTTCCTTTCGCTAGCGTATTGCTCACCAAAGTCACAGTCCATGGTCACAGAACCTCCCTGCTCAACGTAGAAGAGTTGGGCTTCGCTAGGCAGAGGTGATTCTGGGTGAACGAGAAATCAGTCAGCACCTGGTACCCATATGGCCTGCACTTACCACGCTATTCTACGCCTTGCTCTATCACGTGGCAGTATTACTGTAGCATGGTCTGCTGTGCTTTCCAGTGCTACCCCAGACCTTGCTACAGTATAGGATATCTTGCTGAACTGTACCCCTGCACACATCATTGTGTCTTTCCGTACTAGCCTACCTAAACAGCACCATTCTGCACCATGCCACCCCGTGCTTTGCTGTGCCCACTGCAGAAAAGCCTGCTATAATCCTGCTGTAATCTCTAAGATGACATGCACTGTAGAAGGAGAGATTTTCAGACTACAGTTGTTAGAAAAGGAAAAATAATGATTTCAACCAGTCTGGAGGCCACAGTACCTTGAATCACATCCACTTCAACTCTGAAGTTGAGTCCCCTAATAGTTATACCAATGCCACATTTATAAGAGCCCTCATCTTCCTGTTGCAGGTTAGACATGGTCACGACAAAGATGCCTCGGTCGGGGTAGTCGGTGAGGTTTGCTCTGTCTTGATATTTAGGATGAACATAGCCATTGGAAGAAACTATTGTCTCGCATCGCCTTGTTGATTCTTTGCACCAGTACTTCCTGTCATGCCTGTTTACAGAGGTGTCCGGGTAGAAGCATTGCACTGTAACCGATCCTCCAACCAGTCCGGTCACAGTCCTTGGTCCAAATATGGTACTTCTACCTGGGAAAAGGAAACACATGTTGCACGATAACTGCTGCAAGTGAAGTCATTTCATTATTATATTACGCACCTACTGGCCTCGGCTGAGACGGGCGCCCCGCAGGGCTAGGAACGCAGTTGCAAACATATAGAAAGAAGCCATTTCTGTCCAGAAAAGCTGACAGCCTAAGTCAGCAAGACTGAGAAAGGAAGGATTAAGTGACTCGTCCAAGGCCAAATAGAGAACCTGTGGCAGAATCAGAAAGTAAACACGGCTCTTTTGTATTCTAGCCGGGTACCTTAACTGTTTTTCTTTCTGTAAGCGTTGTGAAAATGAGTGGGGCAACAGAGAGGAATAGATACTTGTGGTGGTCAAACCAGTTTACATAAAGACAGAAGCAAGTCAAATCTTTACTTTGCCTTTTGCGGTTTGTTTCTTTGGGGGGTTTTTCCCCTGCTCGCCTTGCCTTTTCACTTTTAACCCTCTTGTGACCTTGGAATGGCCTGAAGACACAGAAACTGCATAGCTGGAAGGAAGTCACTGTTGTGATAACTCTTTCAAGCAAGGCTCAAGCTAGAATATAGCTGAAATTCCCAGACACACCAAGGCAACAACTTCTCAATAATGGTTTCGCCTGCTGATTTTGTTGCAAACCCCAGAACTCTGGTCAGGTTTCATCCAAAGCTTAACTGAGGTTTAAGAATCTTTTGGCACCTTCTGTAGGTCTTGTGTTTGGAGAGAGCCTGGGGCTGACTTTACATTTAAGGGGCACAAGGCTAAACTTGGTTGGTGTTTTGGGCCAAGGCCAATCTGTATGTGACTGGCTAAGTTTTGCGTTGGGATTTCAAGTCTTCTTGGACCTAAAATTTGAAATGAAACCCAGCGTATGGAACCGAAACAGTGAAATGGCACAAACATTGCTGTGAATTTCAGGGCCAAAACTGTTGGGTGTCACTTAATTAAATTCCTAAGAGATGTCAGTCCTAGTTCCACCCCGAAGAGATGAGGATCCACAGATAGGAAAACCAAAAGGTCTGACACAGCCGCTGAATGGACTTCATGCTGAATGAATGCTTTGCAAGGCTATCGCTGAGACATCAGCATGGGTTGTGGAGAGCGTTCCCCTTTACGGTGTCCAGTGTGCTCCATTGACAGGTATTGCTAACGTACATCCTTGCAATGGCTGCGGATGCCAAGTGTCTGCTGTGACACAACTCGGCCACTTCTAATGTACCGTCCGCTTGTTTAGCTACTTACTTCCTATAGCCTCAGTCTGGACGAAGGCGAGCAAGAAGATGAACACTAGGAAAGTCATTTTTCTTTCATGCCCCGGGCTCTTCCAAGGGGCAGAAACCTGTAAATAACCACAATCAGAAGGTTACATTTGATTGAGTTGGATCATTAACATTTACGTGTTAAAGGAACCCCTTGTTGAATCTATGCATGTTACAGAGACCGCAAGTCCTCAGCTAAACCACAGGCCTGGAGTCGATCGAGTGTCACCAGAAACAGACGTGCCGGCCCACTTGAACCTAAGGGAAATGCAACATTAAAACAGTGGGAGGTGGTGTTTGGAGCAGCGGAAGGGGACTTGGGGTAGCTGGTCGTGGCTCTACTGTTAAGTCCTTTTGTAACCTGCAGATAGGCCACCTAATGTACCAGACCCCAGTTTTCTCCTCATTGAAATGGGGATAACAATCTTTACCAACCGCCCAGCCAGGATTGTTGCAATTACTGTCTATAAGGTGTTTTTCCCCCCCCACTATTATCAACGGATGAATTCCCGGCATTGAGTAGACTGGCCGCAGAGATGGTTTAGGAAGGTCTGAGTCGGGCCAGCAGAGGGCGGTGCTGGCATGCAGAAAGGACCGTCCGGCGCCCGTGCTTTCAAGCGTCCAGCTGGACACTCAGATCTGGAAACGATCCGCTCTGGGCAGCCTTGGCACCTGCTTTATCACTGGAGCGAATTGACTCCTTGCAGAAGGAGTGTGCTGTAGATCTTTGCCCAGCCCAAGGTTCCCCCTGGACACCAGTGACGGGACTTGCTCCAGGGAACTAATCGCGGGTCACACAATTTCACATTCGGATGGTCATTTTTTTGGACGCTAGGTGCCATCTTTGCCTGGAAAACAGATTGACATGGTGGCTTCCCCTGTTCTCCACGTGGGCAGTGCCTTTACAATAGCTATCGCTTGCCTATTTATCCCACATACAAAAGCCAGCTGTTGCGTATTGTTAAAAACTGCCAGTATTTATAAAGCAGGGTCTCGATTTTGTCATGGAAGCCTGCAGCACTGAAATATTGGGCTTCCCACGGCCTTACGTCTCTCCTATTCTTGCAGTCTTTTTGTTATACAGACCACCTGCAATCCTAGCCACTTTTACTGTGCAGAAGAGTATTGGCATCGAGCAGGTGTTTCACCTGCAATGAGGGATAGGCTTGATCCAAGCCTGCCCCACGCTTTCAATATTTCAAATCCATAATAAAAGCAGGATCCCTCTTTCCTGCTGGCATCAAGGCTTCTTATAAGTTGAACTGAAACCTGCATCCAAAACAGCTCAGAAATCTGGTGATTGTTAGAGCCAGCCTGAGATCTCTGCACCCTTGGCCGAGATCCTGCAAGTTCGGTCCACCTGAGAACTAAAGCCCTGCTGAAGAGCTTAGCATCTTGGCTTTTCCTTTCTGCCTTTTAACACCGTTCATCCAGTGGAAGGCAAGATTGTGCGCTTGACATCTCAGCACCTGCCAAAACCACTCCTTAAAAACCTGTTCCCGTAGCTGCAAGTTCCTGGTCTGAGGCTCTGTTTGATTTATGATCTTTGCTCCTCTGCCTTTCAATCAGAGATGCAGCTCGAAGCATAAAAACTATTTCCCTTCTCCCCCACACTCCCTTTTTATTTTATTTGCCTCAACGTCTCTTGAAAGCAATTAGAGATGCAGGATAAACCATGACAAACGTGGGGGCAGATTTTGTGACATGAGGCCACCCGCAGGGTCAAATATTTCTGAACCTCCCAACGGCTTGGACTTCGGATTGAATGACAGCCTGAAGGGAGCTGAGGTTCTTAAGTCTTCAAACCCATTTTTCCCTCCCCGAATTGAACACACTGGATGGCCGGGGCATGCACGGGTATGGGGAACGTGCATGTGTGCAGGTATATCTGTTACGCGCAGTCATTGACCCATCCGGTGATCCCAGGTTTCAGGGAATAAGAAGGATGCCAAGAAAAGTTTTATGCAAACAGCCAGAGGGGTTTGTTTTCCATGTATCAAGTGACAAGATTTATTTTATACAGGGTAATTCCCAGCAGAGAAAAGGGCTTTTATTTCCTTGTAGAAATGAAAGGTGTTCTGTTGTGCTTTCTTCTTCCTGCTGTTGTATCTAAGTGCTCAAGGGCTATTTGGCTGCGGCTAATAATTAACTCCCAGAGCATGAAAAATGCCCTTCAGTAGTCAGCCCAGAAGAAGCCAGTAAGATAAACATGACCCGCTTGACTGTAGAAAGCGAATGACACAACACAAAAGAAGGACCCTGCTGCTTACAGCAGTTACAACATCTTTTTTGGAGCTGGCCTACGAGGCCTTGTACTTCTCTTGCCTGGGAGAAGTGGGGAAAAGCTGGGACCTCTGATCGTTCGCTTTCTTTCTTTGCCAAAAAGATTAGAGAACCCAAACGAGTAGGGGATGAGAAACCTGGGGCATTACTAGCTAGATGGACTCCATCACAGACCATTGTTCTGGGATTTTTTTATTGTAGATCTTTCTTGGGTAGCAAAGGAGCATCAGTAACTGTGTGCGAATTGCTTGCAATAAAGCTGCGCCCTGACATGAGGAAGACAGCGTTGATATAATTTTGCAGTTTGCACACCTCTGCTGTGCTAATTGCCTCCCATCATCTGTGTGTGTACTGGGGCTTTCCGGGACCTGTACGTGCATGCATGTACATGCAAGCACCTTTATTATGACTGAAACAACCGCTGCATTACTCTGTCAAGTCCTATCACCGACTTAGTCCTATCTCTTCACCGCAATTATTGTTATGTATAGAGAAAACTTCCCCACGTAACAAGTCCAAGCAGGTACAATTATCTAATGCGTAAATCCGCTTTCTGTCCAGAGCCTCCATCGTAAAAGCAAAGACTGATCCTTAGACTTAACGTTACTGGAAAGCCCCTCTTCTGCTGTTCATCACATGCCATACCCAGGAGTGAGGCCATTTCCCAGGTTGGGACATAGCACGTAAGAAGGGTTTGCTGCTAAGTTTACACTATCCAGGACCAGCCAGGCTGCTGGAAGAGAATTTTCTCAGTCCTCTGTTGCTGAAAGGTCTCGTCACTTGGTGATGCCACCGAAGACCATTTGCTGACGGATTTGCTGCCTATGATCCAAGTAAGACTGAACTTCAGAGCACTGGAGAAAGGAAGCTGTCGCAGCGCTGGTATGAAGGGGAGAGTAAGTACAACTAAAATGAGCTAAACGTGCCTGCTTGTGCAGAGCAGGGGCTCCCAAACAGGGGGAGGGTGAAAAGGTGAGGCAGCTGCAAATGGGACCCAAGAGGGCTAAATCATGGGGGAAAGCCATCTCTGTTTTCCAATCAGGCTCACTTATACCAGTAAAAGTGTAATGTCTGTACCTGGCCTGACTGCCGTTGCTGGGACAGCTCTTTGAACAAAGCCAGCCTGAGGCAAGCCCTGCATCAACAGCTCGCTACAGTGAATGCAGGAAACGGTGACGGAGGACACCGAAAAGGGTCTCTGTCAAGTGAGGTGTGTGTGTGCCCATAATGTACCTTGCAGCTCAACAGCAAAGAGGATTTTTTCTATCCAGGTTTGGCAGGAGAACAAGAGGAGAAAGAGCCTTCCCCTACTAATAAATATGGGGGGGTTTGGGGTGGGGAGTGGAAATCTTTACCCCTTTGCAGTCGACAGTAAAGCTGTCTTTGACCCGGCAGGAGGCTGCAGGGGGATAACCTGACATAGGGGACTTTTCTGCCGACCCTCTCATTAGCGCTTGGCTAATCCCTTCTAAAAGCTGCCGGGGGAAGCTGAGCTGGATTGCCCTATTTGAAATGAACTCTATGCATGCCCCTTGCAGTAGCCATGCTTGCCCCTGGCATCCCAGAGTCTCAGGATCCCGTGCAAGCATTGACTGCTGGGTTAATTCTGAGCATGAGTCCGGTGGGTGGAGGGTGCTGGGTAATTCACTGCGTTTTTCCACTTCCATTTCCTCCTCCTGGCACCTATGCAGATGCATGGCTCCTTCTGCATGTTCCTGGCCATTCGCAGATCAAGAACGGCACAGCCGGGGGGGAGCAGGACAGCCCAAGGGACTGTATGAGAGAGCGAGAGTGCTTTACCTGTAGCTCCCCAGTTCAAACACCCGACAGGCTGAGGCTAGCTGTCATCATGTGCTCCATCTGGAGCTGGTGAAATGCTTGCACCCTCCGCAATAGCCTCTGCTGTGGACACTTCCAGGCCTGAAACGGCTCCTGAGACAGAGCCATGCTGTCACTCCCTGAAGGGCTCTTTCTAGACCAATGGTGCTCAGCCTTTTCTAGACTCCAGCCCCCCTCATTTCATTTGACTCAAGGTCCCCCTCAAAACAAAGTCAGCTCTTAGCTTTTGCTCGTTTTTTCTCTGCCAAATAATAATGGAGCAATTCTGCCGCTGCAAAGAATTCCCAAAGGTCACGGTTTGTAACACCCTGGATTCCTAATTTAAAATCTCCAGGTCTACCTTGTGAACCGTGTAGATGTTTGCACGCTTAACAGGTAAAATGCAAGGAGGGCGTGGTACCCCACAGGGTTGTTGGTTGTCGCCGTGCTGGTCCAAGGGCATAGCGGACGAGGTTCTTTGGGTAGATGTGATATCTGTTATTAGCCTACCTAAATAGTTGGAACAGTAGTTCTTTGCAATTCTCACAGTTCACCAGCAGAAGAAGGGCTTTTGTGCCTGAAAGCTTGCAAAGAACATTTCCCCCAACTTTTTAGTTGGTCTAATAAAAGATGTCGCATCTACCCAAAGAGCTTTGTATGCCTGGTACCCCACAGTACCTTCAATAGGAACATGTGGCCCCCTGGTTGGGAATTGCTGCTCCAGATTTAATTCTGACACGCCGTAGGGGTATGGTGCGTATGTGAGAAGCCTGGATTTCCATCGGCACAGGCAGACTGAAGGCTCCTGTCCTCACGGCTGCCAGTGCCAGCACCTTTCCCCAGCACTGAAGTCACTTGCAAGAAGACATCTAAAACCAAATGTCATTAAAACCCCAAGGGATACCTCCTTGGAGGCTGGTCAACTGCCTTGCAGTTGAAGCTAAACAGGAACGAAAGCAACAAAAGGATCTGTTTTTTA